GCTTTATTTTTGTAGCTTCCGTGAAATCAAAGATGGACATGGAAATTAAGAAGCAGGCTTCTCTGACACCAGATGAGAATTTGCTGTGAGAAAACATGCAGGGTAGTCAGGAAGCTGAGGGGATCTTTCCAGCTCACCCATCCTTCTCCAGCCTCTCTTCCTGAGTCCCATGCTCACCCAATGGTTATGCTCACATGGCTGTTGGCAGGAGCACCTTCTAAAGTTTGGTCAAGTACACTGTAAGCACAGTAGGATGGGCACAGTGGCAGCGTCCCTTAGACAGTCAGCCCTGGTCTAGCCTGGTCTCCTACCCCAGACCCAGATGTAGGAGGCATGCCCTCATGAGCAACAGCCTACCGAGATGACGGCACAATGAAACTCTACACAACTCACTATGTAGGGAACTGCTAGGAGACAGGTGACAGGAGGACAAGTTCAACAACCATCATGATTCTCCATGGCCGCCTCAATGGCTTTGTAACTCGAGTCTGCCATATTGAATCAGTTCCTACTTGGGATTTTTTTTTTCCCCACTGAAAAATTGTGTGTACAAACAACTTTCTGGAACAAAGATATTTTTGAGTAATTATATTTACCGTGGTGGAAAATAGTTTCAAATTGGTTGTCAAGAAGATATATTGAATATTTACTGTGTGCAGCATGCTGGTAGGCTTCGCCGTGGATATTAACTGCACCTGCTTGGCAAAGCTTCATCAAGCCAGGGTGACCTAGGGTAGATTACTGTGGTGCAAATGTAAATAGTGAACAGATAGAAACTTTTGTGGGGGTGGGCGCTTGCTAACACAGGTGGGGAAGACACATCATGAAGCTCTGAACATTCAAGATAGCCTTCTGAAGAGGAATTAATTTGAATTTAGGTGAAATATAAGTAGGCATTTTCCAAAATAGACATGGGGGAGGCACATAGAGCAGAGATGTGAGTTTCAGGAGGAGCTTCACATGTGATAGGAAAGCTTGTTAGGCGTATTTTTTTTTAATAGTATCATAGAGTGACCCATTCCATTGAAACCGTGATTGCATCCAGAAGAGCCACAACCCTAGGCTGACTGCTCCCCAAAGGCCAGAGCACAGGCCATCCCATCACTCTGGGATTAGGGTTTCAACATGTGAATTGTGTTAGGCACAAACATTCAGCATATTGCCACATGGCTTCCTCCATATGGGTTGCGTCTGCCCGTGGCCACTGTCTTCGTGACCAGTAGCAGCCTACATCTTCACAGCTACAGCTCTAGAGAACAGAGATCCCGCACAATGATTGTTGAACAGATATGGCTTTTACAACACTGGCCTCTGTGAGTTACTACTTCTGTCATGGTTCATTCCAAGATGCCTGGCTTACCGGGTTCTGGGCTTCCACCAAAGCCAGTCCCAGAACTGCAGTACAGCGTCCCTGAGCTGGATGAGGAGTAACCACAATTGAAAAGGTAGCTGGTGATGGAGACGGGGAAGAGGACTGCTTAAGAAAGAAACGACAGTCAGAAGGAGATGGATAGGAGTCTAGGAACCAAGGTTAGGGAAGCTTGTGTTGTATCCTGTAAGTGTTTGAAACCCCGCTCCCTCAGGCTGGCCTCAGACCCGCTTTGTAGCCAAGCCTAGCCTTGGGTTCTGGATTATCCTGTCTCTATTTCTCAAGTACTGGGATTACAGCCGCGAGTGCCACCATGCCTGGCTCTCAATATTCTTATGTAATTTCTTTGGGTAGTGTTTTCAAGGTCCCCAAAACAGTCTTTTCTATGGCAGTATTATTTTTTCATTTATTGTTGTAAACTTAGGTCATTAGAATTATGAATAATGCTTTGTTGGCCATGTCAATTTCTAAAAATCACTTTCTAAAGTTAGCAAAAACATTTTTTTTTTGAGACGTTTTGCTAACGTGAAATTGCTGGGTCAAAGGAATGGACCTTTTAATACTTTCAATAAATATCCTCCCATTACTATACAGAATTGTGGTGATATTGTGCCCCCCCCAATATATTGGGCACCTTAATAAACTTATCTGGGGTCAGAAAACAGCACAGTCACTAGACAGACATAGAGGCCAGAAAATGGTGGCACACACATCTTTAATCCTAGCATTCTGGAGGCAGAGATCCATCCAGATCTCTGTGAGTTCCAAGCCACACTGGAAACAGCTAGGCATGGTGACACGTGCATTTAATCCCAGGAAGTGATGGCAGGAAGCAGAAAGGTATATAAGGCATGAGGACTAGGAAATAGAGTCTTGTTAAGCTTTTAGACTTTTAGCAGCAGTTCAGCTGAGATACTTTTGGATGAGGACTCAGGGGCTTCCAGTCTGAGGAAACAGGATCAGCTGAGGAACTGGTGCAAGTGAGGTGGCTGTGGCTTGTTCTGCTTCTCTGATCTTCCAGCGTTCACCCCAGTAACTGGCACTGGGTTTGTTTTTATTAATAAGACCTTTTAAGATTCCTGCTACCCAGAATAAGTTTTCATTTTATGTCTCCTGTCCATTGTATGAGAATTTACCTCATTGTGAAATAATAAAGTATGCTTTAAAAAAATGAGAAGACTGAATTGTTCTCTACTGCATTTGGCTGAATTCCTGGCCACATGTAAATGCTGGTGTTCTGATGATAGGCATGTTTTCTGCACTGCATTTTCTGGTTTCTCACTTTGGCATGTGTGCACAGCTACAGGATTGCTCCATTGCCAGGTGAAGGGCTTAGCTTATTATTAACTTCATGCAGATAATAATTGATACTGGAGACTCTAGTACAGAGCACAGCTTGGCAAATGCTGAGTGGCTCCTTTGTAGAAACTTCTGATTCTGTGTCGCTTCAGTTGGACATTGGATGCTCTAGTCGCTCGCTCCTAATTCACAGAGTTGACCGAGTGTAAATTTCCTTCTTATTCACAAGGATACTCCTAGCGGGGAGTTGTCCTTGAAGTCATTTAGGGACAAGAATTCCTTCTGCCTGTGACCTTACTCTTCTCAAGGCCTGTGCAGTTGTTTTCATTCTGGGGGAGGGTGCTGAAAGACAGTCGGGACATGTGGTACAATTTCACAGGACAGATCCGGAGGCTCGCTGTTCCACGGGCTTGCATTCTGCTGACTAAAACTCCATTCCACGGCCACACAGATTGCAAGAAAGAAAAGAAGTGTTAAAGGACACGTGAATACCCAATGAGCCCTTGCTCAAACTGCCTGACGTCCCTGAAGCCACATCTTGCCAGATAGTCTTTTGTATTCTGGGCTTCATGACTATGTCTCAGTGTAGCGCACCCAAATTTCTTTGACTGTTTACAGAAAATAAATATGGAAAGGAAAATGTAGAATATTGATAAGAAGCTCATAGTTTTCAATAGATCTGAATGGTGAAGAAATGACAGACTAGTCATCAAGTAGAACTTAGTTCAGATAATGGAGAAAAGATAGAAGTTGTTGAATGAAGTGGTTTGATACCTAGGTGTAGATGCATGTAAGAAGATGAAATGCACAAGGGATTTTGTAGGGAGTTTATGCTCAGTTGACAAATTTGATGACTCACAAGAATGACATTTGTTTGAATGGAATATTTTAATGAAGGTCTTCGTATAGCATGGAACTGCCGAGATGTTTGAAAGTCATGCACCTGATGAGGCTACTCTCGTACAACTCACCAGCAGAAAACAGAGTGAGGAATGAGCTGCACCATTTCTCTAAAGGCATTCTAATGGTCAGCTGACAGGTGTGTGTGTGAAGTCGCTGAGCACTGAGAAGTATGAATCAGAAACACTATGAGGTGCCGTCTTGCAGAGACCAGGAGATGTTGTTCTGGAGATGATGTGGTGGAAGGGAGAAAGGCTTCTGTTTGGATGCAGGAAGAAGGGCATATTAATCAGCACTATGAAAAATGGCACAGATGTTCCTAAAGAAATTACATAGAACTACCCATGTGACTCAGTGGGCAGACACTCAAAGGAACTAACATCACTACCTCTTACAGAGACTTGTAGTTTCATGCTCATTGTGAAGTTATTAATGATGCCACGATATGGAAACCACCTGTGTCCCACTACCAGACAGATGGATAAAGATGTATTTGTGTGTATGTATGGTCATAATGGATCTTTTAAAAGGAAGAGATCCTGAGCTGAGTATAATAACTTTTGCCTGTAATCTCAGCATTTGAAAGGCTGAGGCAGGAGGACTGCTCTAAATTTCAGGCTAGCCTGGGTTAAATAGTAAGTTTGAGGCCAGCCCAGGCTACATAGCAAGACCTTTTGTCAAAAGAGAAAATAGCCCTGTTTGCCTCATGTCTTAATCCAGACACAGAAGGAAGATATCTCATTTAAGTTTGGAAGTATTGAAGAAAAAAATGTCAAACCTATAGCTATACAAGACAAGGTAGTTGTCACTGGGTGCAAGGGTGGGGAGGCATAGCTCTAATATGCAAATCAGCAGATGCCTGGGAAGAGAAAGTCTTTAGCTTGTAAATTCCAACACGAGGACTGTGGACTGGTGTCATGTGAGGTGTGGCAGAGTAAGTGATCTCAGCTGTCTTGCAGTAAGCAGAGTGTGGATAACTGGAGAATGATTGACACATTAGTTGCTTCCATAGTAACCATTTTATTAGTTATACCTATCTCATGATTTCATGCTGAATATCTCAGATATAAAGAATCACCATGGAAACAAAATTTGCTATGTTTGAAGAATTATTAAGGTTGTGATAATTAGCATGGCAAGATTCATGTAAATTATCATTACACAGGCTAGACCCTGGATTCAGTACATAAGAGGAATTGAGCTGGGCACAAACATTCATCTCTCTCTGCTTCCTGACTGCAGATACAGTGTGGTGACCAGCCACTTCAAGCTCCTGTTGCCATGACGACCCACCATGATGGCACAAATTCCTTGTAACTATGAACCCAAAATAAACCCATCGTTCTTTAAGTTTCTTTTCTCAGGTGTTTTGTCACAGAAAAGGAACCAAGACATCTCTCTGAGCTCTTTCTCTTGTTTTTCACAAACGCAGGTGATTAAAGTCTACAGTGAGGATGAGACCAGCAGGGCGTTAGAAGTGCCCAGTGACATCACCGCCCGGGATGTCTGCCAGCTCTTGATCCTGAAGAATCACTATGTGGATGACAACAGCTGGACCCTATTTGAGTACCTGTCTCGCACAGGTGTAGGTAAGGACACAGGACCACTGTCTAACAGTTTCTGGATCCATACCCTCCAGAGGGCAAAGGCTTTCTTCCTATGCACAAAAACAGATACATTATGTGTTGAGTAGTCCTTTCTTCTTTTTCATTTGGAGCCATTGATGATGGACAAAGAAAGCACAGAATAGAAACAAAGCTAGAAATGTTATAAACATGTCACCATTCCTAGTTAAATACATGATGGAGATGTATCAATTTTGGAACCAAAGCATGGAGTTAAACTTCATAGTCAAATCTCATAATAACAGGAACCCCCCGCCCCCCTCAAGAAGTTAGTAGAAAAAGATTTTGTTTGGTCTGCTTGTGAGTTGGTTGGGAGTATACACTCTAGATTTTTTTTGAAGACTTAAAAAAATAGTAATCAAGACTTAAAAATAGTAGTCTTTTCTCAAATATTTAATGGGATACATCTCTGGGTTGTAAATTGTGGAGGGAGTTTTAAGGTGTTCTTTTAATTAAATATGAACAATTTATTGCCCCTGAGAGTAAGAACAGGGTTTGGTAATAATTTTTCCTCTACTTTCTTATTCTTATAGGTACTTAGGTGGGAAAGCATGCTTTTGTCTTTAAGAGGTGAGGAAGGAAGGGATGGGTTATGGCAAGCTAGTTCATTCATTCGACTTTGTGTTGCTTTCACGTGGGTGCTGTAACAAGTTACCATGAACTTGCTTGCTTATAACAATGCAGTTGACCATGTCACACTTCTGGAGGTATGGCATCAATGCCTTTGGATGAGATGAAAGTTTGGGTGAGTCCTTTGGAGGCTCTGTGATAGAATTTTCTCCTTTTTTTTCTTCTTCTTTTCAGTTTCTCATGGCTGCCAGCATTCCTTGGCTTGCAGACTCATCACTCTGACCAGCCCCCTTGGTCCAGTAGCCCAATTCTCTTCTGCCTCTCTCAAGTCTCCTGTTTCTATCCCAGCAATGTTTAGGGCCTCCCCTGTCATCTACAGCAATGCCATTGTTTCAGATTCCTTACTTAATCAAACCTGCAAAACCTATGTTTATCTTTGGAGGGCAGGTGTTCAATGCACCACACATTGCTTCTCTGTTTATTATATAACTGTTACAAAGCAATTCTCAAAATAATTTCTTATAGCTTACTATTGACAGCCAGATTACTTCCAGTGATTTATTTAGAGAACTGTAGAGGTTTTTTTTACATTCATCTCAACAATCATTCACTTTCTTGACATAGCTACAAAAGTATACATTTTTACCTTGGTTTCATTTGTTCTGCGGTTTATATCTCAAAGCAGCATTCCAAAGTTAGGTCCAGTTCTGAAAAGAGTTTTGCCTTTTTCTCGAATGGGATGAAATTGAAAAATATGATGATGACCACCGAGTTATTCGGTAGACTTTCTTTAAAAAGATTCTGGAGTTGGATGGATGGCTCAGTTAGGAAAGTGCTTGGGGTACAAACATCCAGATCTGACTTTGATTCAAGAACCCATTTTGAAAGCCAGATGTAGTTGCTTGCATTTGTGACCCCAGTGCTGGCTAGGTGAAGGCAGCAGATCTTTGAAGCTTACTGGCCAACAGGTCTAGTTTATCCTGCCAGCTTTAGGTACCAAGAAGAGATCATCTTAGAAAAATCAAGGGGGACATATCCTGACCTCTTGCCTACAAATGTGTGCTGTGTGCTTACACACATACACTGTTGTGTGACTTTTCCTGGAGAGACATGCACAAATGTCTCCTCATCCCAGAGAGGGAGCTGTGCACAGACAAAGTAACAGTTCCACCAAAGTTGCACTGGGAGGTCCAAAGAATTGTGATAACTTACTGAGGTATGGGCCAGGGGTTCATTACAGGTGTGAATAGATCATAGGCTGTTGCATAACCAAAAAGCTGCTAAATATGGCACTTTCTCTGTGACTTGCAAGGAACGTGACAGATCAGAGAGTCTGCACCAGGCAGTTCAGCTGGTCAGTTTTCTCCTGTCATCTCAGCTGTTCAGTCTCCCCTCCAGTTGTTTATTGCTTCCCTGACCTTGGGGAGGGGGAGTCTGTTGAGTCTTGTAAGGTTTCAGGAACTTCCTAGGACTTGTGAGTTGCTTACCTCCTAAGTCTCCAGAGCCCCTCTTCATGAGGGGATGTTTCAGTTTGGAAGAACTTGCTATCCAACACCCAGGCCCAGACAGACAGGCAGGCAGGCAGGCAGACAGATACAAACACACACACACACACACACACACACACACACACACACACACACACTGCTGAAAGTAGTTTTGCTACCATTTGGAAAGTGTTGGTGAAGACAATTGTGGGGTGTGTCCAAACTTAAAAGAAAGGAGGAAAGTATGCCTGGAGACAATCAGCTGCTTTGTCGCATCATGGTCCACTAAGTGTGGAACATGTAGAATCTTCTGAGGATATCTGAATGCTGAATGTGGGCTAAGTGGCCTATGGCATCTCCTGCCTCCCCAGACAGGAAAGCCTAAGCATTGGCTTTGTCCATTGCCCCTTATGATGAGTTTAATTTCAACTCATGATAATTCCCAAGAAGCCTGATGTTAACTTTCAGTAGATTCTTGCCATATTACAGACAATTTCATTACCCATTCAGCTATTAATTAACACAACATACAAGTGCCACATTTTATACTTTTATCTTTTTTTATTACTATCTTAGGGGACTTAGGAAACATTTTGTATTAGTCACCACAATTTATGCCTGACGAACAGCTTCAAAATTCAGAAATAAAAATCTGTTCTGTAAACAAAGGGGACATGCTCACAAAAACCTACCAAGTATTTATACTAGGTAATGAAATGCACTTTTAAATGTAAACGCCTTTGAAATAGTTGTGAGTTCCACGCTGAATTTAAACTTTTAGGCATTGTTATAAAGTGTGCTTCTTTGTGACTTCATGTGTTTTCTAGACATTGCTGAAATGAAGTCAAAACACCAGAACATCATCTTCCAGACTCATCAGTCAGAGGCCAAAGGCTATGGCAAAGGCATTTCCTTCTGGATTTTCCTTGTGTTGATTTTCTTTTGGCCTTGTACCCAGGCTGCATATCCAAACAAAGCAGTTGCAAACACTGACTTCACCTGAGTACTAAATGACTGAGCAGTAGGTGAGGAGGCTGCAGCGCTCCAGGGGCTGTGGTCCGTGGTCTTCCTCGGCATCAGATACAGGCAGGTGTATCTTGGTCACTTTTCCTTTGGAGACCCTTATCAGTATTCCATGCCTCTAACAGCAGTTGGAGCAACATGTTTGTGTTCATTCCCTGAATAGGTTGTAAAAGGAAGGAGGTAATATCTCCATCCTGAAAAATACTTCTATACACAAGAACAATCAGCTCCCTGTACATAATCGAGAAATAAAAAGGTTCTGATTTAAATATAAATATTTTTTACAACACTGAGAAGACTTCTCTTAGCTTTTTAAGACTAGATATTTTCTCCCCCACCTCGTCATTTTCACTATTTAACCCAGACTAGCCTCAAATTTGCCTTTAGGCTAAAGCGGCACTGTAGCAACACACTTCCATAGACCTCGCTCTGCACTTTCCTTGACAGCCACTGGGTGTCACTATAGTTCCCCAGATGGAGCCCTCTGTGGTCACTATCAGTGAGTGGAGCTGGTGTGTGTGTGTGTGTGTGTGTGTGTGTGTGTGTGTGTGTGTGTGTGTGTGTGTGTGTGTCTGTGTGTGTGTGTGTGTGTGTGTGTGTTGGGTGCGGCTTCAGTTTCAACTCTTCTGGAACTTAATGGGATCCATGTTTGTCTTGCTCCCATTTGGATTCCTAATTGAAGCCGTGGTACAAGGCAGTGGCAATTAACACTGTACCTGGAGCACATACCTACACACGCTTCGGGAGGAGGGATTAATTGTGTTTTCGTATCATTGCCATTGCCGCTGAGAGTTCCATTGTGAATACTACTGTGGAGTGAGTGGCTTTAATAAGCAGAATGAATGACCAGAGGCTTTTACTGAACCCATCTTTACACGTGCAGCCACGTCCGCACCGTCTCTCATAGTCAGGAGGAGTTGGGCAGTGCAGGAGTTTGCTGCTACCTGCTCCAAAGCTGCGGCTGCACTTTTCTGTTCCCTTTGTTTCAGACAAAAGAGGTTCAGCGTGTTTCCTGTTGTCTGGAGCCAATATGCAGTGGCACGTTCTGTGCTGTTTATAACTTAGCAGGTTTCAGAATTGTGACTACCCTTGTTAGCATCGGGAACCTCAGTGCAGCCCTTAGGACATGTTCTGTGCAGAGAATCATGCGCCCTGACCTCCTGTGCTCTCAGATGTGGGTCTTGGCGGTATACGCAGTCTCCAAATCAGGAAATATTTTACCAGCAAAGAGTAGGATGTGTCTGTCAGGAAAACTGCCTCCTGGTTCTTTGACAGGTTCTCAGAGCTGCCTGAGACACCACTTCTTCCACCTTCAGGCATTATGGTAGCCTCACAGCTGGCCCTCTCCCCCTGTGTCCCAACGTTAGCCATCTGGGTGTGGACCTGGGTCTTGTAGTTTTCCTCACAGTCATTTGTGGGACCGGGAGTGCCCGCCCAACCCCCATGTGCACAGGCTGTGTCCCACCCCCCACTCCTCTACGTGTGGAATCGTAGGCACCCGGCACTAGGTGCCCATTGATTTCCTTGTTGCGCTGCTAGGCTTCTCAGGTACCGACTTCTTCTGGCCACCTGCGTGGGCATCAGGGCTGTTATTTTAGTTCCTTCAGCATTTTCTCACAGAATACTCATGGCGACAAGGTAAATGTGGGCATTTTCTCTAGCAGCTGACCAGGCTGATGGCAGTCCCCTAGTGCTACAATCTGGGAGGGAGAACGGGTCAAGGCAGGTAGTGGTCACCGCACAATCAGTCTTGTGTGGTGTAGTCGACCTCTGTGTCCGAGAAAGGGCAGCTTGTCACAATTGCTTTTTCCATATGTCCAGCCTGAGGTACATCCCTCTTCTAGTCCCCGTGGGAACACACTCTCTCTCTTCTTCCCTCCTTCC